CAAGTGTACATGTGCTTGCATGCATGTACACACACACACATGCACATACACACACACACATTTAAATTACTAATGTGATACAAATATTAAGAGTGTACTTAACATGTGTTCCACGCAAATGGTACCACTTAGCTCAAAGACATTCTCCCATGGATCTGCCCCAGGTTCACCTTTGACAAATCATTTGGTCAAAAAATGACTGTTCAATTGTGAAAATGTTGTTTGATAGATGGTAAGAGTTTACAGCCAGTTATTTTATGGACTAGGCTACTTATGGTTGTTGATGTAAATGAGAAATCCTCTAAATTCTGTCTTCAGTGGATAGACACAGTTCCCCGAGGTCTGATGTCTGCTTTCATTTACAGAAAGCTCTTGTTATTAGTTATAATATCTCCTCTTAGACTTATCTCAAACCTATTTTCAAGTGAGATTTTCCTACTACCTATTTTTAAGTTACTTCCAGGAGTCCTAAGTACTTCACAGTTTATTATGTATACATACTTATTGATAAATATAACACTTTCATCTTAAGGGGCATTACAGTTATTCTGGCTAACTATTCATCCACCTGTCCCATCTCCAATTTTGAAGTGAGTAAATGATCCCATGGCTTGTGGAGGAATACCCATTTGGAATTCAAGCCACTTCTTGTCACTGAGATGACTGTCACCTGCTTCTAAATTGAGAGTTGGAGATAATTAGTGAGTACTCCTATGAAGGGAACTCTACATGACTCCTCAGAATACCATCAACTGTTTGCTTTACCAAACTACTGTGATGTTACTTTGAACCAACTGTCAGTATTGTTTATTGGGGCAAGACTACTCAGACCTATGGATTTTAATGTCCTGCACCCACCCACCACTGTACAAACCAGCTGAGAGTAGTGGAGTCTGAAAGAACAGGTTGCAGCACATTCTGTTAGTTCTATCCAGGGCTCACCCCTGAGCTGACTTCTCTACTTAGCTCTCATTACACCAACAAAAACTCTGCCTCTGAGGTTGGCAAGCTTTAAACCAAAGGAACCTTGTATTTTTTGTTCAATATCAGCAGAAATGAAAGAAAATATATTTATTTGCATACAATTTACATGTGTGTTTATCAATGTTACTAAGAAACTATTGTTTGCACTGTACTTGGTATATGGGAATCTTTCTTTTAAACCTTAGTCATTTACTTAGCAAATTTTCTGTGTATTCTTTCCATCTGTGGTAACAATATGGCAGTATGTTATGTTTTTTATATACATACATACACGAATGCACATGCTATACACATGCACATACATGCATACATATAGACAGAAGTATATATGTGTATGTGTATGTACCCATGCAGTCACATGAAAATCCAGAAGAGAATTTCAGGTGTTTTCCTCTATTATCCTCCACCATATTACCTTGGGACATGTCTGTCACTGAACCTGAAGTTTGCTGTCTCCTCTAGGTTAGTCTGGACAGCAAGCTCCCAGGATCTTCCTTTCAAAAGTAGAGTTACAAGCATGGCTAGCCATTCCCAGATTTTGTGTGAGTACTGGGGATTCTACCTTAGATCCTCATGCTTGCAAAGTGTTTTTCTTATGAAGACCAAGTAATTCTTTCATTTGTATTTGTATGTGTGTTATATGTACATGTTCATATGCATATGCTCAGTTGTGTGGAGACCATGAGTCCACATCAAGTGTTTACCTTGTTTGCTCCTTCCATTATTTTTTGAGACACGGTCTGTCACTGAACATGGAGATCAGCAGCTGGTTAGTGGCTAGCCAGTGAACTACAGGGATATATCTGTCTCTGCTCCCTCACACTCCCAGTGCTGGTGTTACAGGTATGCACCAGTGGGCCTGGCTTGTATGAGGTCACTAAAGATCTGAACTCAGTTCCTCATGCTTGCATGGAAGCCACTTTACTCCCATGAGCCCCTGCCCAACTCCCCGATTCTATTGTTAGATATTTTTTAGTAAGAATACAAAATAATGGCTTCCTTTATAACATATTGATGCATCTGTATCATTATATTTTGCTCATATTTACCCCAATCACATTTTTCTTATGTCACATTCATACATACATGTGTCTATGAATATAGTTCTCATATTAAAAGGCTTGCAATTTTGTTTCTTATTTCTCCTCCAATTAGCCTCTCTTCTCTTCCCCTGTGATGCCTTAAGACTCCTTCTTCTTTTCCTTACATTATTTCCTTTCTGCTTTCATATATGTCCTTATTTTTCATGTACATGTGCATGAAAAATATGTTTTGAATCCAGAATTAGAAGATGAGAGGAAAACAATATGGGATATTTGTTTAAGTGTGGTTTATTTCACTTAACAGGGTGATCTCTAGTTTCATCATTTTTCCTGAAAATAACATGATTTCATTCTTCTTTACACATAAATAAAACTGCATTGCATGTGTATCCCATACTTTCTTCATGTCCATCTGTTGGACATCTAGACTAGTTCTGTGTCTTGACTATTATGAAAAGCACAGCAATGAACATGCATGTACAAGTATCTCTGTAGTATACAGGCTTAGATTCCTTCTGGTATATTCCCAGTAGTTTGAAGACGAATAAATTTAAAGTTCTTGGTGCCCTTGAATTTCAAGACTGTCCTCTGAGGATGTGGATCTGAGAGGAAGGCTAGGTTTCTGTAGCTCCACCTTTCATCAAAGCAGGATTTTGTTCAGTAGAGACCCTACATCCTCATCACCCTTCATATTATACAAGCCTATTGAAACGGTGCCTTTTTATTACTTTCGAAATGCAAATGTTAAAATGAAAAGACAAGGCACAGAAGGTGGAAAACAGTTGGAGTCATTAATGCACCATGTGAAATTTTCACTTTTGATTTTGGAAATTGTAACAGAAGTAGACACATATATAATTTACCTTTCAAAAAACTTTTAGGAAGTTCAAATCGAGAAAGATCAAGAAGCTGGCTGATTCTCAGCTCTCAACAATATTCCCACATCACAACACTTTCCTGGTTTGTCCTTTGCCAAATTTGCATTCTTAGCTAAAGTTTTAATTTATAAAGTGAAAAAATGTCTTTTTGAATATAGAGGACATTGGAACAATCTATGTTTTTGTTGTTCCTTTTTAATTGCCGCTATAATTCTTTCAAACAAATTTCCCCTACAAACCCAATTTAATAATCAAGACTGTTAAAATTAGCTATTGTTGATGACCCAAATAATAATAATTTGCCCTCAAGAGTGCTTGGTCTGTGTGGCTTTAATCTTCGACTGGAATAAAGTTTGAAATGAACTGATGTAAAACTGGCATCAGAGGAGTAACCTTTTAACTAAGTTTTCATTAACTTACTGTCTTTCCTCTCAGGCTGGTATGATCACATTAAGAAGTGTCAGATTCATTTCACTAAATGCTCCTTGAAGGCCACGTCCTGCCTAGTATATCTAGAAGCCAAGCTCTGTGCCAAGAGTGCAGTAGACGGAGTTTCCAAGCTTGGTAGTTAGTGCATTTCTGTAGCAAGTCCCCCAATCTCTCTGCATTTGAACATTCTAGGTGGGACTATAACATTATGCTACCTCTATCAATGTTGTGGGATGGCTAACTAAAAAGAAATTTGAAATTTAGAGCACAATAGCATGAAAGGAACTTTCCTGTGTTATCATCTGTGCCAGCTCATTACTAAAATGGGAGAGTTTTTCATATTTTGAAAGAAAGCACGGATTTGAAAATAAAATGATTTTTCCCTAGATTCAATGTTTAAAGGGAATTCATTTACTAAGAAATATTCATTAGATCAATATTCAGTAAGAAAATTAAAACTTAGACAGTCTATTGGGTGTGTGAGGGAGAGCAGAGGTTAATTCAGTGTACACTTGAGGTCACAAACTTCCTATACAGTATGCAAATATTACAAATAGCATACATGTTCTATTCATTCATTTTATAGTCCCATATTCAGTACATTCAGCCGGAATGCGTAAGGTCCTCAGTCTGTCATCTAAGTAGAATTTAGGTAAATAGTAAACCCTTACTTCAGTAGCTTTCACAATATTTAGGACTCAAGGCTAAAAAGGAAGTGGATAGATAGAAAAGATTTAGTAATTTGGTTTGATTCTGGCCCACTACTATGAATTCATAATTCATTAAAATGTAGGGGGAGTTTCATGGACTATCACAGCAGCAGCCTGGGCCTTGCATTTTTACCCTATCAGACAAACTCATGCCAGATGTCCATGCAACCATTCCACTTTTTATTAATATTTGCACTGACCAAACATGCCCAGTTTTATTACAGGCTTTTCACGTGCCTTAAAATAAATTAGCGTTCGTTGGCTCCATTTAACTACAGGGCAAAGGGAGCTACAGCGGGGTCAACAGCCTTCTGCTCCAACACTCAGCATGAGCCACAAGTGAAAGAAGGTCTTCCTGGTTCCAAGTTCATTTACATGGTGCTTTTCCTACTTTAAAGGAACATGTTGGGTTTCATAGGATAGTATTTCCTGGCAAGGTCATTCATTTTCATATATACACTCTGTGACTTTCGTATACTGTAGGGAAGCAAAGATGTGTAAAAGATGTGTTGTCCTCAGGATAAGGCTCTTGTTTCAGGACCTGACCTATGTCAAGTGGTTTGCCATGTCTTATTGATGGGTAGAAATGGTAATGGCTACACTTTCATTTATCATCATAGCTTATCATCATAGCACTCAGCATGATTACTGTGTTGTAGAGACTAAAGAACGTCCTCCTCACCCCCCTTTCCAAATCTCCAGATCCCTATTGTGGACTAAGATCAAGTACAAAAGTCAGAGATCTTATCTTGCAAGACATGGGGTATATTACTTCAGGTCTTCAAATGGGTGGCAAAGCAGAGTTCACCATTATTTTTCTCCACTATTATCCTCATTCATATTTCAATTAGAATTTTACTAGGAAGGATACACTTTGTAATGATGTCAGATAGGAGTGAGAGTATTCAGGATTCACGCCAGTATTTTTGACCCAGGTCTGTTTTGAAACATTCTAGGTTATTCCATACAAGCTGAGAGTGTTCTCAACTTCCAAGGTCAGTATGCACCCCCTGGAGTGATGTCTGAACTTGCCCTTTTGGATGACCACTGATTCAGTCCATAGCATTGTTTCTTCTCTCTGTGTGTGTGTTTAACTTGCTATTTGACTTGGCTAATTATGCATGGAATTCTTCCTATTCCAATAATAAGAAAGGGGAAAATGTATTTCCCTGGTCAACTGTATGTACAAAGCCCTGAGACTATAGTGAAGCAGAGTAGTAAATTTTCTTTTTTTTTTTTTTTTTTTTTTTTTGGAAAAAAGCCACTCATTGACCTTTTGGATTTGAAGCAGCTATATGTATTGTTTAGGTATTCAATGTGACTAAACAATCTTTGTGGTGCCTGATTCCTTGATGCCCTGCTTCTGGTGAATGAAGCTCTAATTTATAAGAATTCTGGCGTGCACAGAGTTAAAATACTTCCGAGTCCCCCCTGTCTGTGTTCTCTAAATCTATGATCCAGGGTTGGTCTAAGGGTCTTGACCTTGTCACTCTTTCTGAGGACAAGAGAAGAGGAACAGATGAATCCAACTGTGAATGCAGTATCCCAGAAAAGAGAGGCAAAAATTCTTCTGAGCACATGGACCTGTTCAAACCTCAGTCCGCTGTGATGCTTGGCTGATAGTTGATAGTGAGACTGTCAGGTTGGTTTTGCTATTTAATGTGTACATAAATAAAAGGTCACTGAGTTGCTTAAAATCTTTCCACTCTTTAAGTCTGTAATTAGGAGAACCAACGCCAGCCAGGCTTGCATGCAAACAAGCTCTGTATAGGAGACACAGCACACTAGTGCAAAAACATGCCTAGATAACATAACTTGCCAGAGAGGATTATTTCTTCTTAGTGAGTCTGCAGAAGCCCTTTTCTGTACTATTCAGAATTTGAGAGGAGAAGAGTGGATTGAGAGAGAGAGAGAGAGAGAGAGAGAGAGAGAGAGAGAGAGAGAGAGAGAGAGAGAGAGAGAGAGAGAGAGAGAGAGAGAGAGAGAGAGAGGAGAGAGGGGGCGCATTAGTGAATAGCGAGTGTGCCATTGATGTTTGAGCGCACTTCTGAACTGGCTTTTGTTGAGACTATCAGTGTAGAAAGCATGCGCTGTCCCAAATCCGCTGTTACTATGAGAAATGAGGAGCTGCTTTTAAGGTATGTTGTTGGGTCCTTTGTTTTTAATATGAGCTTTTCTAGTTCTGAGAGCTGTTGGAGACACTAATCTTGCCCCGAATCAAGCAGCTTCCTTATCTTAGAAGAGAAGGAGGGGGTGAAAGATTCTAAACAGAGAAAGGGAAATGAAATTGAGACCAAGAGATTGGGGGAGAGAGAGAGAGAGAGCAAGCCAGGGAGAGAAAGAAGGACTGTTGTGAGGGAGTTGTATGTGTACTAGTTGCCTTGAAAGCAGACCATGCATTTGCTCCCTGCTATCTATGAGCAGCCAGTGGATGTTTTAAGGGTTCCGAATCTGGCTGTTGGTTCGTCTTTTCTTTTGCAATGTCTAAGCCTCTTTCATTATTATGCACTCTGCATGGAATAATCACCGAAAAAGGAGCTGAGGAGACTCCATATTAGACTTGCGTTCCAAATACCACTCTAATCTGGACTTAGCACCTAAATAGTCTTCCCGTGTTATCAGGTTTGGATCACTTTATCCTGTTTGCCAAAATGTGTACCTGTTTGGAGACCTCTGTTGATGCATGGCGTCCTGGGTCCTCATGTGTGGGGAAGCAGATATCTGCTTCCTGCATGGGTGTTGGGGGTTCTATCATAGACCAAGAAGGAGTCACAGCTGACCTTTTGGGAAGCTGAGAGAGAATTATGATAGAATTGGCATCCTGCTTTTAAAAATGCAGTCTTTTGTTTATTTGCTAGCAGACATTGTAGCACTGAATACATCTTTGGGTCTGACAATGGGACCGGTCGAACAATGGAGCTGTCAAACTAGCTTAATGCATGTCTGGGGCTGTTTTTTTTTTCCTCTGTGTGTGTGTGTGTGTGTGTGTGTGTGTGTGTGTGTGTGTGTGTGTGTGTGTTTTCCTCATCACCCCTTTTTATCTCCTATAATCTTGCTTATATGGACTATCAAAGTGAAGAGCTTTGGGTCTGCTTATTTGTGGTTTTATGCTTTTAAAATTTTATTATCTACCATTCTCGGAGCTTTTTGCATTTTGCAGTTACATTGGCTGGATTAAGTTAGAGATTTATGGCTTGTCTCTCTGTTAACTACAGAAAGAAAACTTATTGATTGAGAATGCTTGTAATACTATTATCATTGTGGCAAATGCCTTGTTGATCGGACCTGATTCTACTGTACTTAATGTTTAGGGTTTTAAAATGTGTCCTTTTCGGGGACTTATGGAATGTAGCTTGAAAGAGAAGTTAACAGGGCTATCTATGTTTAAGGCTTGAGTAGTGAGCATTTCTAGTTTTTAGCTTTCTGTTGGGTGTTCATAGATAAACAGTTTAGAAATCCAAGGACAAAAGTAAGAACTTTTGCCTTTATAATTTTGATCACAAACTATTGTCCTGTTACTTAGCTATGTTAAAGGTTTCAGTGGAATATATTGATTTCTGACTTAATGCTCATATTGTTATAAACTGCAATTCTGTGCAAGGCAAGTATTTCACGATGCCTTTCATTTTAGAAGATAAACATTGGTTTCTAAGGTGAAAATTCTGAGACTGTAGAAGAGAGCATGGAAAAATCTGGTTCAAACTTCTCAAATGTTGAAACCATTTTTTTGCACATTAGATGTAAAAAGAATAGACAATAAATTAATAAGTAATTGGTTTACATGAAAATCCTCTTCCTAAGGTTGATGTCTATGAAGAATATATTCATAATATTTTAGTGCTTGCTTAGTATACTGTTTGTGTCAGATCAATATACTAGATGCATATTAGTAAATTTATGGAATACATCTAAGGGCCTAATTTGAGAAACAAAAGGGGAATTGGTGCAATGAATAAAATTAAAAGTCAAAATTTGTTTCAAATATTTTCTGGTAGATTTTGGTTCAAATTGGCAATGCTCCCCATCAGTAAGGAAGGAGATGTATGCAGTATTTTAAAAAATCACAGTTATGAAGCACCAGTTATTCCTTAAATTTGGACCTGAATTTTAATTTTTTAAACTTAAGGTGAAATGTTATTAAATACTTAATGTAGAATTAATTACATAAATGTTATTGGTTACCAAAAATTGTCTTTGCAAGTTGAGATTTCCTGCCGGTAATATTTTCAGAGCTTAGGTACACCCAAAGCATATGTGTGTGATGTGATAATATTCTTTAAGTTATCCATTGTGAATAGAGTGGATTTTAAAGGCATGCTTGTTATGTTCCCTTAGTTCCAATGGGATCTGAACTGCTCCTTGCATTGGGTATACCAATAATTGCTTTTAGGATGAGCTCATAAAAGGTAATGGGTGAAGCTTCATATCCGAGGCTAACCAACTGTTACCAGCACACCCAGGTTCCACTTTCATGGGAAAATTTCAATCTAAAACAGAGGTTGCAAATCAGTGTGTGTGTGTGTGTGTGTGTGTGTGTGTGTGTGTGTGTGTGTGTGGTCTGAGAGGAAAGTAGTCTTCCACGCTTGCTAGATGCTTGTCAGGAATTCATTTAAATAAAGAAATCATTTGGAGACCACAGCGTTGAATTTTTTTCTAAATTGGTAATTATTTAACTATGATATATTCACTTAAATTTCTGAGTGCTCATAGGTAAGCCAGAAATGGGAAATTCCACTTTCCTCCTTTCTCTGGTGTTTTGATACATTATCAGTTTTCAGAATTTGGGACCCCAAACCTATCCCCCACCCACCATGCAATTCCAGCATCCATTATACAGAACAATGTGATTTTCTCTATACTGATGGAAAAAGTATATTGTCGAGAGTTGGCAAACTTGTCTACTTTCATATCTACAAAAGTAACAAGACAATGTGTCATGCTATTCACCCCACATGCAATGATTTTCCAGGATGGTGACCTAAACAAATGTAGAAATAAAATTTAATTCTATCCTCAGACCTGAAGAAAAGGAATAGGTGAAGATTCAAACTGGTAAAATGGTTTCTTTCACTAGAAAATAACAATTACACCCCAAGCCCCTTTATGTAGGAGCCTCGGGAATATTTATATAAATGTGTTCAACAGACCACGATCTAAAACCTCCAGTGTATTAAAATTCTTTTCTTTGTAAGGATGGAGCCTGATAATATTTCTTTATTGGCTCTTCGTTTTTTATGTGACTAGATAAAATTGCAAGACATCATTTGGGGGCTGGAAAAGTAACGAAGAGCATTTGACTAATATTTATACCTAGGACTTTTTAGCAACGTGAATTGTGCTTGAATACCTGGGAAGTCATTCAAAGAGTGAATCAATACTAATTATTGTAATCAGGGGGTTTAATTAGGTGAAAATGTAGCTGATGGAAAGTTCATTGCTCACAGCCCTGGAAACACCCAGGTTGATGAGAGGAAAGGTAAAATGAAAAAGGAACGTGTTACATGGGGTGACAGTTCAGTGTGGAAGGTGCCAGCAACTGGAAGGAAAGATATAACCTGATTTCTTATCGTTATAATAGCAATGAAATTAGAAATGTCCAACCTTTTTGTAATGTAGATATTTGAATAAAACTTAGGAACAGAATGCAGTTTGCCTAGCAGAACCTCTGTGCTGAGACATTTATTTTCCCTTTTTACCACTGTAACAAGCTCAAGTCCACTTAGTGACAGTAATGTCTTCTTGAATTGCATCTTACAGCTTTCACATAATTTCTTTATTTTGCTAATTCCCAAAAGACTTGGTGGCCAGGGAGAGACTCCTCTCTCTCATTTCCTAGAACTATAGATTGCTCCTTTAATTACTGGACTTGCAAGTTTTTCTGAGATAAGGTGACTTTTATTCTGTAGAAAAGACGAGGCTATGGTGGTATGAAAGAAATTATAATTTTGTGGCATTTTGCTCAGCTGACATCAGGTAGGAAGAGGCTGCCAGAGAA